CTATGTGGGTACTGAAAATTGAACCCAGGTCCTCTAGAAGAAGAGCTAATGCTCTTAACCGCTGAGCCATCTCTCCAGTTTTTTGTTGTTTTGGTCTGGTTTGTCTGTTTGTTTTTGTTTTTAAAGACTATTAAACCTCTGGGCTAAAGCTACTGGAATTAGTTGGGAAATGGTACCCTAAAGGGTCCTGCTCTGCTCAGGGCCTCTACTCAGAATGTAGCACTTTTTCAGTTTAATTTAGGAACTACGTTGGACCTGCTGCTGCTGCTGCAGATCCTTACACAAGCTTCCCTTGGACCAAGCTTGCTGTCTTTCAGCCGTCCTATATACAAAGGTTATAAGGAAGGCCAGAAGTTGAAAATCCATAGAGAATGCTCAAAAATATTCTAATCTGTCAAATAAAATATGGATAAAATCAATTATGTGACAGTTGCCCAGACTGTGGGGAGCTGATCAGGGTTTACAGATTGGGGTTCAGGATGAGGGAAGAGAATGAGTCAGGTGCCTTTTCCCACTACTTCTCCAGCCCTTGCCACCAGTGAGCACCCTGAGATACTTGGAAACATACTGTTTAATGTGAGTTGGGCGAAGATACAAAGACAAGGAAACTCTAAAAACAGATTTACATCTGTGTCAGGGTTTTCTGAAAAGCATCAAGCCCCAGACCTCTCTTCAGGAACCTGGACCCCTCACTTCAACACTACTCAATGTTCCCGATCAAAACTTAAATCTATCTACCTCTCCCTTTCTCTCCTTCCCTCCCCCTCCTCCCCTCTCCCTCTCCTCCCACCTCTGTCCTCTCTCCTCTTTCTCCTCACCTAAATATTTCTTAATTGAACAGTTTGTGGCAGAGCTTCCTTATAGCAGTTTAATAGATTAACTCATCTGAGCCAGCCTCAAATTTCAGATTAAAATTCCTTCATCCCGAAGGCAGCATTATCAGGTTGTTGGAGGCTGTTTTCAAACCTTGGTTTTGAATAGCAGCGGCTCTGCATTAATTTAACCACTAAGCTAATAAGTAGGTTTCGTTTTGTTATGCTAAGCTTTATTGCTTTTCTTTTGATCAGAATGGTGTTGTTGAGCAAAGCAGCAGACAAGGCATTCTTTGATGAGGGAATTAGCGCTCCATTCTTCCTCTATTATTCATAGCGCAGTGGAATATGTAAGTACCTGAGGGTGTCAAAGGAGCGCAGGTTCTATTGCAAAGTGCTCGCCTTGTTTCTCTCAATAGCTGACTATGAGATGATAAACCGCTTAATACACTGTGCTAATTGGATGAGAGCAAAAAGAGATGGGAATTAAGGCGAGGCAAAAGGAGAAAGTGCAACCAGCCTTCAATTCACTCTTTCACCACTTTAACAGCACCAAAGGAGGCACAAGCTTTCTATAAGCAGACTAGAGGTTTTGTGCAGAGATAAAATGAACGTGTTAGTGGATTCAAGTAATACACTAATTATTGCACAGTATAAATACCACTACTGGTTTTATAACAGGGAGGTAAACTTCTTTTGAGAGGGTTATAGGATTGCTTGGCAGTGGTGTAGAACCTAATAAGGGCCCAGAGTAATAACCCCCTGGATTAACAAAATTGCTGCTTGTACAAGTATGATTCAGGCTTTTACGAAGATTTCCGGAGAATGAATAAAAATGACTGAATGACATTTCTTAATGTATAACTGGTAATCGCCCCCTTTTCTTTAAAGGAAAAAATGTATACTTCAAACTGGACCGTTAATAACGTCCAGGGACAACATGACTTTTTCTTTTGAAAAATGCTTTTTCCTCTTCAGGTAGTGGGGTTTTCTTCTCCCCCAGCCCCACCCCCAGCCAGGCTACCACTTGTCATTTAAATATGCAGTTGCTCTGGGGAACTCTGTTCCAAAATACCATTTTAGGCTCCATTTAAGACCCCCTTCATTGAGACACACTCACTTTTGTGTATACACATAGACATGCTCATACACATTTTTTTTCTTCTAGAAGCAAGTGGGGCTAGCCCATGTGTAATTCCGTCTCCTCTAACATCAGTCTCTTTTCCATTCTAGAAGTATCTGCACTCCAAATCATGCTAAGCAGACCTTCTGGTGCTTTGAGTATTGATATTATAAATCAAAAACTAACAAGAACAAATATTTGTCCCAAATGGGTGGGGATTATATGGGGGAAAAGGAAAACCATGGGGGCCAATACCAGTACCTTTGTCCTAGTACTGAGATTCTCTCCCACATTCCTCCTCCTCTCCTAATTGATCCTTTTGCCACTCTTGTGACCACATAGTTAACGTATCTGCCCTCACTACTGCCTACAGTCCAGTCCATGGGTAGTCTGGGACAGAACATTTCTAGTAGTATGCCAAGTACTCCCTTCTTGCCTTTGGAGTCTCCTCCTGATCTGGCTAACGTGTATGAAAATGTAAAAAATCAACTTCCCCTTCCCCTCCAACTTCCCTCCAGAGGCTCATACAAGGTTCTCAATCACCCCCTCACCCCACAATGGCCTTGGGAAAGCAGGTGTTGGGCTGTTAGGTTCTGAATGTGATGGGAGACAGTCCTGCCATGAATTTGACTCTCCTGAACTCCCTGGGCCTCCATATGTCCTCCTCAGTGGTGGAAGAGGTTTGCTTAAGATTGAGGGGGGGCATTGTCAGCCGGTCCCAGTATTGTGACTGAGTTCCCAGATATTGGGGCCAAATTGGGTTGCCATTCATTAATAATGCTCACAATAAGATTAAATCATTCTGGAAAATCTCATAAAATCCCCCTAAGTACGCTCCAGTGGCTCTTTCCAATCCCATCATTCAGCACTTGGGGAGGTTTGGAAAGAGAAGAAAATTGGTTTCTTTGCTTTTAATGCTGCTTTGAAAAGATACTCAGAGTTTGTCATGCGTGACATGTCACATGTTTAATGTGGACTTGCTGGAAGTCAGGGGGTCTTTAGCGTGTGATATTTATGGGGAATATTAAGTGCAGAATGAGGTCCCTCCAGCTGGGGAAAGTTGAAAGAATAGGAGGCCCGGCCCGGGCTTGTTTGCGGCATCAGAATCACATAGGATTAAGAGTTTGTAAAACAAGGCGAGGGGTTCTCATTGGCCAGTAATAAATGTAATCCTTGGAGGTAATTTCACGCAATTTGCTTCTGCTCCATGGAAGGGTCAAATGAGAAAAAATGACTTAAAAAGGAGTTCATTAACAGGAAGAATGGTACTGTTTCTCGTATACCATCCAACTGGCAGCCTGAAGTGGGGGGGGGGGGGGGATGAAGCCTTCTTACTAAACAAAAAGCCAGTATCGACAGAAAAGTGATATTGACCACAAATAAATAAATAAATCCTTCCCTAGGGCTTCTCTTGCACTCTGCTACCTTGTACACTCCAGGAAAACGCCTTTCTCTGGGAAAGCCTGTGCAATTCTGAGGGGTTGTGACTCTAGATCTGGAGAAATGCCCCAGAAAGTTCCAACCTGGCCTTAGTAAACCTAGGAAAGGAGTGTGTGGTGGGAATGGTAGCTGGTGGCCACTTCCCATGCCCCAGATCGGGTCCCTGTCTAGGAGATCCACCCTGGCAAGTCCAGACCTGGATAAGGTGGTGATGACCCACAGGACAGACCAAATCCAAGAAGCAGCTAGGGCTGGCGACCCTCGTGGGCGCGCTCTCGGGGATTTTGGACAGGCGGGAACTGGGGACCACAGGGCCGCGTGGGCGTGCCGAGGGCGCAGCAGGCGCCCTGAGGGCTGCCCACCTCCCCAGACAGGCATGGTACCCCAGGACTGTTGACCTCTGCCCGAGTCTGCACCTTCGCTAAGGCTGCCAAGGGATCCAGCTCCCCACCTCCTGCTAACAAGGCGCGCCCGCGCCCCCCGTGGTCGCTGGCGTCTTGGCGGGGCGGCGGTTCTCTGCTCGGTGAGCTGCCGTAGTCACGCCGCGCAGCCCCCCTTCCCGCCTGCCCCTCTCCCCAAAGGTCCGGCGCGCTAATTGCTGCAAATTGAAACTAATTAAGCTTCTCTTCCCTTTCCCATCACCCTGGGAGCATTGGCGAGACCCAGCCCCCGCGGGCGAGCTTCCACCGAGAGGTCACCCGAAGGGGCGCGGGCAGGGTCCCGGAGAGGGGGGAGCTATGGTTCCCGCCGCGGGAGGGGTGAGCCCAGGGGGTGAAAGATGCCAAATCTGTTTGGGGCTCCTGGCGAAACCTTAACTGTTTGGGTATTTTTTTTAATGTATACATTTCCCAATGTCTAGATAAGTAAAGTAATGACATTTGTCGAGTTAAGATCTGCCACTTAGATACCCATAGCTGCCTTTCCATCACTCTTCCAGCGTGTTCTCTCTCTCTCTCTCTCTCTCTCTCTCTCTCTCTCTCTCTCTCTCTCTCTCTCCCTCTCCCTCCTTCCCTCCCTCCCTCCCCTTCTCCTCTCCCCCTCTCTCTCTACTCCCTCCTTCCCCCTCCCTACTAGTGTTCCACCGAGCCCGCCCCCTCAGAAGCCAGCGCCTCCGCTTCTTGCTCTAGCCACTACCTGTCATATTGGACTGCGCACTTCCTTGCTACGTGGCACTTTCCACGAACAGCTTCCTTTGCCTTCCAACCAAGATTCCGCTTGCTCCAAATTCCAAATTTCTCTTTTCATGGTTGTCAGCAACAGCTACTATACACCCACCTACCGTGGGACCCACCCTACAATCTCCCTGGCCCAGGATCCTCAGCACCAACTGCGACAGAACTCTGTGATGCTCTTGGAAAGCACCACTGTGATATCCTTTTGAGTATCACTTTCAAACCAGGGGCCTCTACCTGGAAGATGCACGTGCATAAAAATTCAAGAGCTGCTACAGCAGCAGAGCCTTCTCTTGGTCTCAGCGGGGGATAGGGGCTTGTACTGTCCCCTCAGGGTCTCTATAGCGCATTCACACTTCCTTTTGTTAAACATATATTTGTTTTTATTTTGAGCGTGACACTTCTCCACTAGATAGCAAGGAAAAGTGATAACAATTACACATTACACAAAAGTACTGTACCATTGCCTTTATCTTGAAGGTTTCCGAAGCCTCTACCGTTAATAAGTTAAATAAAGGGCTTGAGTACATAAATATTTGTCTAGAACCCTACCGTATCTACAACACAGTAAGAATCTACAGGAGGACAAACTTTTACCATACCACGCTGAGTGCAATTGCGTTATAACATTTCAAATATACAAAGCTCTGTTTTTTTTTTTAATAACAATGGTATGTACAGAATCAATAATCACAGTTTGGTGACTTCAACAGTCCATATTCTAGCAGAGTATTTCCCTTTGGTTTGATATAAAAACCTTGGTTGGTGTATGATAAAGAAGAGAACAAGAACGAGACGCCCCTTTCCTTTAAGTGCACTGTTAGCTATCTTACAGATACGCATTTGCTTCCCTTGCCCTGGCATCTAGCCGGGCCTGCGCTGAAATCAACTTAGAGCGCCAAAATGCTATTCAAAAGAAAAGCTACGGAGGAAGAGAAGATTGGGCTTTTAATTTTTTAAACTTCAATAGTAGGCATCTTGGGGAGAAACCTTCCCCGTTAATTTCAGTAAGGTAAGAATGGGAGAGTGGACGTTCGACTTGGAGCAAAGGTGGCAGTGGCAGGGGTAGGGGCAGGGACAGGGGCAGGTGGACAGCCAGCGGAAGAGGTGTCACGTCCTTTAGCGCCAAGAGCTGCCTTGTCCGCATCCAGGCTGCTGCGAAGGCGGCTGCGCTCTGTCTGTGCCATCTTGGGAGTGTGCTGGTCCTCTGTTTCCATTTGGTCTTGAGTGATGCTGAGTGAGGTGACCTTTCGGGGCGCGCCCAGGGGGCGCGAGGGTGGAGGGTAGCCTTTAGCACACCTCCTTGCCCGTGCTGGTGCCCGGCAGGATGTTGAGCTGCGTGAGCTGCGCAGCGTGCTCCTTGGCCTTCAGCCTCAGCGCCGCTATGCTGGACGCGCGTCTGTCTGCCGCGGCGGTGGCCGGGTCGGCCAGCGCGCCCGAAGCCACTGCGCCCTCCACCGCGGGTGTGGGCTGTCTCAGGAGCGCAGCCGCGGTCGACGCGCTGGTCAGGGGGGCCATGGTGGAAAAGAGCCTGTGGGGAGAGCAAACAGCGCGGTCCACGGCCTGGTGAACTGAGCGCGGCTCCCGGGGCAGCGAGTCCTGCCACCCCTCACCCGTGTGGCGAGGGTAGAGGGCGCGGAGCAGCTGGGGGAGTCCGGCCCCTGGTAGGGCTGGAGCTGGGACTCGAGCAGGGTTGAAGCTGCGGTAGGCTGGTGGTTTTGCCCGAGCCGAGAACCCACCCACCAGAGGAAAAAAAAAAAAGCTCAAGGGACCAGACATGTCCGGGGAGGATGATTTCAGAGGGAGGCCCCGCATCTTAAATCACGAGGCCCAAGTGCGTGGATTCGGACTTTCAGTTAATAAAGTCTGTGTTCCGAGATCAGCTCCTGGAGTGAATGCTGTTGGTGGGAAAGCAAGTGGTGGGCGACCAGAGAGACAAATGCGAGGGAAAGAAAACAAAACAAAACAAAAACAAGAAAAACAAAATAAAAAAAAAAAAAACGAGAAGGGAAAAGCTAATGGGGGAGGGGTGCAGAAAGTAGGCTAGAAACTACCCTAGACCCATGCTGCAAACTCTCTCTGGGGCTCTTTCTGAGTGTGAGCCTCCTTTCGCCCAGGAAGAGCTGGCCCTGAGTGCTGGTCTTCCGGTCCGCTAGCGCTGGCCCAGCCACCCTCCTGCAGGCTTCTAAACTGCTAGTGCCCAGGGGTGGGATGTTGGGCACCCTCCTGTTGATTTCGGCTCCACAGGCAGCGGCTGGGACTTACGGGACGCCCCGCGGCCCCGCACCTAGACACTCTTTCTCCACCGCCTTCCTTGAGCCCCAGACACCTCCCCCAGATAGTTCCCAGGCTTGGGGAACCCCTTGCACCACTCAAGCCAATGCCTTAAACTGGGACTAGTGCCAGCGTCTGCACCACCGCCTCCGGGTGGCACTGGGATTACTCTGCTCGCGGGGATTACTCTCACTCCTTCCTCAAAACATCCTTGACCTGCGGTTGAGGCTAGAGCGCCCCAGGCCCTCACCTCCACCCGTGCCGTCAGGCGTGTTTTTCCAACCCGCCCCCCCCCCCGCCCCCGCAAGGGTTCCTGCTCCAGACCCTCCAGCTCCAGGGGCCAATTCAGAATTTCCTCAATTAGAAATGAGCCCACCTGGGCTCCAGGAACCACTGCGCCTCCTCTCCAGCTCTCTCTTCACTCACCGTGCCAACCCCACCTTCCTCTGCTTCCAACCTCGCGGAAGCTCCGGTGTTTCAGCGGGGGTTTGCCTAGTTTTACTAACAGACGTTGGTTGTCGGAGGGGAGGAAAGCAGGAAGGAGACACGGGACTTTTTTTTTTCCCCAGAAAGAAATGATAATGGGTGACCTGGAGGGGGCGTAACGTGCCCTGGTTCCATTAGGTAAACTGAGTCACCCCACTTAAGTGCACTTAAGGCACTCGCTAGATATTTTCGTGGTTTAGTACATTAATTTTGCCTCAAGTCCTACTTTCAATTTTCTCGAGGATAATTTTTTTGTTAAGTAGCTGCGCAGTTGGGTGAATCTATTATTTCTTTGTTCTCCCAAAGAGAGATCATTGAAGCTGCATTCAATTTTATTTTCACTGCACTTTCCAACTTAATACATCCCTCCTTTGTTTCTTTGTCTGTGTGATTATACAGATTTTTTTATTTCATCAATGCTCATTTAAAAAAAGGGGGTTATATACGATGAGGTAGGTGGCTCTTTTATTTCCTTGTCTTGTACTGCTGTCAGGGTCGGGGTCTGCACGTATGGGGGTACTGCTGGCATCAGGTCATAAAAGTGATGAGGAACATAAAGTCTGGGAAGAGAAGAAACATTTCAGTGCACTTGAAGGGCCTCCTGGCTCCTGGGCTCCTGTAGGGGACCCCAAGTGTGTCCCTCACGCTGCCAGGCTCTGTGGCATGTAGAAGCACTTTTGCAAGACTTTAAAGCCCTCCCAGCTCTATAGCCTATACCTGTTTACTCAAACTGCCCACGGCGGAGGGGTACCTTCAAACCATACTTTTGTACAGCTATCATGAACACTTCCGGTTGTCACAGTTGTTACTGTCCATTGCCTTCCCCTTTCCTACTTACTCCGAACTAACTCATTCTCTTCAGGACCTCCTTTTCTTTTTAAAGTCGAAATTAGAGAGTATTTTGTTTGATTAAAGTCGCTGAGGTTGCGGTGGGGAGGAGGAAGATGTGTATAGTCCCCTCCTGCCTCCTCTCTGACCTCAGCATCTGCTTGTGTAGAAGAGAAACGGACAGACAGACGGACAGAGCCTCTTTAAGGCTGCAGTTACCTGCCAAACGCTGGGCTGATGAAGGCCGGGTGCCGGAACACCGCTGCTCCTAGAAAAGTGCTCAGGCCCAGCGGCGCCCCGCTAGGCGGCAGGCTGGCCGAGCCAGGAGGCGGAGGTAGGCTCGGGAAGGCAGCCGCAGCCGCAGCAGCCGCAGCGGTCCAGGCCGAGTCAAGCGCAGGGTGGTGCGGTGGAAAGGGGCTGGCATCCAGGTAGGGGCTGAGGGGGTGTGTGGCCGAGAGAGGCCCGGGAAAGGGCAGCCCCGGGGGATGGGTCTGCGCGCCAGCCTTCTCTCGCTTGCGCCACTTGGCCCGACGGTTCTGGAACCACACCTGCAAAATGGTGAGAGGCCTGGACGGTTTAGCTCTGGCTCACCCCTTCCCTCAACACGCAGGGCCTTCTCCCTCTCCTTTCATTGTTCCTGAACCACCTTGGCCTTCTGTTACCCCCTGGGTAAAAAGGAGCCCAGACTTTTTAATTCAGCAGAAACCACTGGACAAGAAAGCCCTTAAAAGTGGTGCCTTATCTATCCCGGGCTTCCAAGAGTCAGGAAACTTAAAACATGGGGACAGCTAAGTTGCCCGGTCTGGGCTGACCCTTCTTTCCTGCAAGACTTTATTTCGGTCACTTAAACCTCTCTGGACCTCAGTTTTCTAATCTGTAAAATGGGGCCAAAACACTTTTCTTATAAGATCCTAATGAAGAATGCATAAAGGCAACAAATGAAAACACATAGTGGTGTTGGACATAGGCAGGCATCAAGCCATGAACCACATTCTGCACATTCGAGATTGTCACATATTTCAGGTTTACCCAAGAGCCCAGGCAATGTCTGCTCTCTATTAAAAAGTGAAGCAGGGAGCTCGTTGATTTATTTTTTGGAAAAATAAAATAGCTACTGAACATTAAGTGCCCTGTACTAGGGTCTGGGATTTGGATAGGGTTGGAAGAGAGGAGGGAACTGCTTCCAGTAAGTGAAAAGCAGGTGTACATTTTAGAGGCCTAGTTGTTAATAAAATGAGAAAGGGGGTCCAAAACAAGCTGTCTTTAGGGGCTCTGGATGAGACATCACTGACACTGGGAAGGTTTATGCAGGACCACCTAAGTACAGGGAATCAGAGGGCAGGGCTGCCCCATCTTCAAAGCAAACAGGGCCTTCCTTTTTTTTTTTTTTCTGGGGGAATGTGCTTTCACTTGGTTCTTTGAATAAGATAGTTCCAGGCTTGGAGGAGGTTTCCATCCTGAGGTATTTTCCTAATTGTTAATAAGAAGCACTTTGAACATAGACCTTTACCTAAAACATGGCAGCCACCATCATCTAAAAATATCCCCCAAAGCATGAAATCATTTTTGTGTGACCTGCTCATCACTCCCACAGCTCAGAAGCTATGTTCCTTCTTCCCAGAAGGCATTAATATTTTTAGAGCTGAGTTTGTGACTGCACAGGAGTCTAAAAATTAAGAATGAACTCTAGGGCTATACGGAATTATATCAAAGTATAATGTGAATTGTCACATTCAGATATTTCAAATTTCCAGCCTGGCTGGGGGTGAGTTACATTAGCAGCTAAGCTTGGTTGGACTTCTAGCCAGTCATCCAGGACAAGAAAAAAAAATCAAGAATCCAAACTGACTGATTACTTAAGGTACTGGGGGAAGGGGGCCATAACATTTGGCAGCCTTCAAATAATCCATGTGGGCATTATAGAAATGCTCTAACTTGAAGACTCACAGGCTTGACAAAGTTAGACTGTAGTTAGATTAGGCTGGGCAGGCAGCTTTCTCACATTCAACCGTCTAGACAAGAATATCCACCATTCCTTGATCGTAGGGAAAGGGATAAAGGAAGGGAAGTGGGGGCAGAGAGGCCTTAAATAACAGGGAATCCTTTCTAAAGAGAGATCGGCTGTCTCTTGGGCTCTCTGGCTCAACTGCAATTATCAAGATGTCCCCTGCAATTCCTCATTATTGAATTAATACCTCTGAGGCCCCCAAAGGTAAACGAAAGGACTCTGATAATTCATATTCACTTAATTACATCTTCTCCAGTGAATAGTGGGGAGAGGAGAAGGGGAGGGGCACTCTCTTTCTTTTAAAAAGTTATTTAACTTTCCCACGACTTGTTCCCCTGAGCTGAAAATGTGGAGTTGCTGTCACATCTCTGTTTGACAATGGAGAAATGTGTCAACAGAAAGGAGGGGACAAGCCGCATCATTAGCCCTCTAATGCAAGAAGCTGTTGTGTATTAAATGAGCCATATGGAATTTATTGTGCTTTATCAGCGCTTGATTTTGACTGTAAAGTGATTCACTCAGCTCCTAACTCGGGGACATCTGTTTTCTGTTGGCCATCGGGGCTGCCCAGTGTTGATCGTCTCTTTGGTTATGAGGCCTGGGTTCGGAAATGCACTCTGGTATGGGGCTGCAAACACCTTTAATAGCATTGCACTCACTCCCTATTAGATCAATGTGGGCTCATTGCTATAAAAAATGGGAAATCAAATAGCATTAGCTAGCTCCTTGTGCAGGGCGGAGGGGAAATCAAACAGCATTTTGCCTTCAAATGGCCCTGTTTGTTCTAGCACTAAGTGGGCTTTTATGAAGCCCGATTGGAGACTTAATCGCAGCCAAATACCTGCTTGGAGCTGAGCGGATTTGTCTAACAACCAAATCCATGCTCCATCCCATTATTTCAATCAGGAGAAGTCTGCTGGTGGATTGTTTTTTCTATAGGGGCCTTGGGTACCAGGTTTGGGTGGGGGGTTGCTGAATTGCAGTCTCAGGGACTAGAAAACCCATGTTTTGATACTGGGCTACTTTGAGCTCCCAAACTGAGAAATCTTCTCCTCCTTCTTCCCAGTTTGCAGCTTGCTTTTGAAATGTCGTTTTGTGTGTGAGCGCTTGGATCTACTTTTCAGATTTGGATCCTCTTCTTCTTATCTGGAGGGCAACCCCCAACCCCAGCCCAGCCCTCTTTCTGCCCTTCTTGGAGCTCACCTGGACTCGAGCCTCAGTCAGGTCCAGTCTCATGGCCAGCTCCTCCCTGTAAGAAAGCAACATTGAGACAGAAGGTCATCGTAGGCCTCAGCAGCTCTCCCTCAGCCACCTTCCCCTTCATGAAGGCCTCTTCCAGTCCACACCCCAAGTCCACAGGTTTGACCCATCTTCATCTCTAGGGTGCCCACTATTCGATTGAAAACAGAAAAGAAAAACCCAGCACAGTAAAATATTATACATTATGTTGTATCATATAGTGTGACAGGGGTGGATTCTTGAGTCCCTAAGTCTTCAAACTTAGAAAAATGAGTTGTCTCTCAGTCTCTCAGAGTAGGATGGGAAAACACACACACACACACACACACACACACACACACACACACACACACAAACACACACACACACACACACAAACACACACACACACACACACACACACACACACACACACACACACACAGTGCTCATGCCCTGTTTCATCCAAACACTAAATGGGAGAAGAGTTCAGCAATCAACTACAATTTTTGTTTTCTGCCCTCTTGGCTTTGTTTTGCCTTCTTAAAAAAATACCCCCCTTCCCTTCTTGCCCCCTTTCCAGCTCTCTGTCTTTCCTCCATTGCCCCCTCCCCCCTTCTACCCTCCCTCACCCTCTTAGGTCACACTCCCCATTACCCTCTGGAGATATGTTAAGCTTGTTAAGAGTTCAGTGGGGTAATTTTTCGATTAAACAAAATTCTGCGCACCTCCTGACTCCAGTGCCCACTACAAACCCTGCCCATCTCAGGGGAAGTCAATTTAGTTGAAACCCTACCCCGTTATTGCAGTTATTACTGCGACAATTAAGGCAAATAGGAAACCATTAAGATGCTGTAAAACGGCTTACGACCTGTTTACCGAAAATATGAGCGCGCCGAGAATAATTGGCTCTCTACTCCCTAATATGAAGGAGTGGAGCTGCCCAAGCCTGGGCCTGAGTCTGCGTTGCCCACAGGATCAGGTCGGCCCCTGAAACTTCCTCAGCACGAGGGGAAAAAAATCAGTTCACTAAACACCTTCTTTTGAACACTCGTCCCACCCCTCCCCTTTTTGGAGAGCACCAGCAAATCTGAACTCCACTCTAGCCTGGCTGGGCTATAGACGGTGAGCTAGGCCTGCTGAGCTGGAAGGAGATGGGGGTGGGGCGAGGAAGAGCAACGGCCCAGGTCTTGTACTTTAGTCTCCCGGACAAGCTAAAAAGGACGGACGTGGATGCTAAGCGACACTGTCTTTTTTTCTCCTTTTTAAGAACACATGTCGGATAAACGCAAAAATAAAATAAAATCAAAGCCGGTGGTCCAGTTTAGCTATGTGATAACACACGCTGACTTGGAGTTTTATTTCTGTCTTCAAAAACAAGGGAAAGGCTGAGTGACACTGAGAAGGACCAAGTTTCAGTGCACTTGCCTGTATTAAATTTACTTTTTGGTTGCTTCTGGCTACAAGAGTTTGGCAACTGCCAGACCAACTATGTTTTGGAGTTGGCTCAGGCCTTGATTCTAAGCAGAGATTTCTCTGGTTCAAAAGGACAGGCAGCTTTCCCCGTGGAAAATGCACATTGAAAAGCTGCACACGTCTCCTGCGAAGGAACTGCCGGGTTTGAGGAGCGCGCGAGCCAGGCACTCACAGGTCTCATTCTCTGTTCTCACTGGGGGACCCGTCTCTTTCTTTCTTCTCACATTTGCCCCCAGGCCTGGCTCCTAGTCTGAGCCAAAATCTTGGACTTGGGGTGGGAAAGGCTCCAAGCCTGCTGGTACTCCCAGGTCGGCTGAATGAGTAGGGGTTCCGAGGCTCAGCTACGCCATCGGTCCAAGTTTCTCAGATTGGGAAGTTCAGTGGACACTAGTCCATGAGACACAGTCCTGTTCCCACCCCCCACTTCAGCTGCTTAATTTACTAACTGCCACATTTCCAGAAATGGTGGTCCACCCCATCAACCCGTTTACAGTAAAGTCATGTAGTGGGCATGGTGAAGACCGGGCCCACAGGGGAATGTTCTGGCTGGTTTCTGGTGTACAGACACCAACCACTGCTTAGTTCCGACTTCTTTGGTTGTTTCAGGAGTCCCCAAGTGACAAAAAAACTCAGATCTTTTAAAAGGTCTTCTCCGAAGGCAAGGGCTCCAGTTTTCCTGAGAACAACGTAACTGATACCCACTAGACTCCTGGGCCACCGGGCGAGGGTGGACAGCGCACAGTACACGGATCAAAAATAGCGCCTGCTTTCCTACCGAAAGGGGGGACAAGTGCCTCTTGTGCCTAGCCAGCACCTGGCCCCAGCCTCAGCACAGGGAGCAGTCGTGTGTGCCTGCCCAATGTGGTTGCTTTGGGTGCTCTTTGGAGAGGCTGTTTGGCTCTAAAACTTGTCATTTGGAAACAAAGCGGAAGGGCTTTGGGACAGAAAGAAACCACACCAACTGAAACTTAAAACCCAAGTGTCTGTCTGTGTGTGTGTATGTATGTACACGGGGAGCCAAAGGATCATATTTGGCCAAGCATCCCCCGGGTAGTGCCCGGAAGCAAAGAGAATTCCCCCTACTCTGGAGACCCCCCTCTATTGGACCCTCACGGGCCCTTCGGCGGGTGCTGTGCGCAGCCACCACCCGGGCCACATACCTGGTGAAGACGTCCGGGTAGTGCGTCTTCTGGAAGGCCCGCTCCAGTTCCTCCAGCTGGTAGCTGGTGAACGTGGTGCGGTAGCGCCTCTGTTTGCGCTTCAGCAGCCCCTCCTCTGAGTCGCTGCCCGCCGACAGGCACACGCTGTCCTCGCCGTCCTTGCCCTCGGCGTCCTCCGGGTGCAGCAACAGCTCTTCCTTGGGCGACAGCTCTCCGCCCTCGGTGGCCACGGCGGCGGCGGCGGCGGCCGCGGCGGCGGCGGTCACCGTGCCGGCGGCGGCCACAGAGCAGCGCCGGGGCTCCTTGAGCAGCGCTCGGGCATCATCCTCCAGCAGCTCCTCCTCGTCGTCCTCCAGCAGCTCCTCTTCCTCATCTTCATCCTCTTCGTCCTCTAAGAGCTCCTCCTCGTCGTCCTCGGTGGCCGTGCCACCACCAGCCGCCGGGGCACTCCCGGGTCCGCTGGCCGCGCCCAGGCGCTCCTCGGGGTGCGCGACGCCCCCCGGGCCACCCAGCTCGTCGAGCGCGGGCGGCGGTGGCACGAAGGGCGCCCCGTTCTCGCGGTACGACTTGCTGCGGCTGATGCTCACCTGCGGTGCCTGGCTGATCTTGAGTGTGTCCCAGGCGGCGGCTGCGGCGACCGCGGCCGCGGCCCCGGCGCTGTCCTGACGCTCCCCTGGCCGCGCGGCGGGCGGTGGCGGTGGCGGTACCTCTCCACGAGGACCCGGGGTGCCCGTGGTCGGGGCTGCCGCTGCCGCCGCCGCTGCCGCCGCCGCCGCCGCCGCCGCGGCGCCCTGGAGGAGGCGGCCCCCACCCGGGCCGTACAGGCGCCGCAGTTTGGGTGGCAGGTGCAGCTCAGCCTCGAACGGGGCGCTGCTGCCCTTGGGAGAGCCTGCGGGCAAGGAAGAGTGGTCAGCGCGCTCGCCCGACCGTTTTGTTCCCCAGCCTCGCAGCTGTTGGGAGCCGGCCTCTGTGCCCCCTCTACCATCGGACTCTGCTCCCCTTTCTAGCACACTTTCCATACTTCCTTTTTCTTCTCTCAGGTGCCCCAGTCCGCCCTTTACCTTCCTTCCTTTCTCAACCAGCCCTTTATTTCTTTTTTCCGTTCACATACCTACTCCTTTCGTGCCCATCTTTACTTTTCTTTCCTTCTCTTTCTACTTTCTCCCCACTCCTTTCCTTTTCTCATCTCTTTCGTCTTTACTCTTTCTTTCTTCCTTTCTCTCTCTCTTTCTTTCTTCCTTTCTTCCTTCCTTCCTTCCTTTCTTTTTTTTCATGATTCCACTTTACTTCTTATTTCATTCCTTTCTCTCTTTCCCTTCTCTCCATTTTGGGGTGGGGCGAATTTTTTTAAAAATCGAACAACTTAAATCACCACTACTCTGAAAACTTCGCGCTCGACCTCGGCCAGCTGTTCTGTCACAGGGGCCCCAGGCTAGCAAGAGGGGCGCTGCCCCGCGGGCGACCCCTGCGGGGCGAAGCCGCCTGGGCCTCACAGCCCTGAACACCCGCCGTGTCCCAACAGCCCACAGCCGCAGGAGGCAGGGATTCCTAGCTCAAAAGGGCAAGGAAAAAAATCATCCTGGAGAAAATGTGTTAAGAAATGCCTGGAGTGGGGACAGGGTGGGGTGCAACAGGCACAGGCCGCTCCTTCCCTTGGAGGAAGCGCCTGGCACAGGTGCCCTTGCAGGCTAAAAAAAGAAAAGGAAAAAAGTCAGTTTTATTTTAGAGGGCTCATTCTCAGCCTTTCGCTCCAGTCTTCCAAATGGTGTTGCTGCTGGATCACTGGTTTTGGATTTAAAAGACACCAACACTTCTTTGCCTGCTACACTTCCGCATCCAGCTCAAGGCGAAACTCGAGTATAAGAGGTTCGGAGGACCAAATGACACTTGTTCTGGATTTTTTAATTTCAGAAAATAAAACACTTTAAACATCTCAACTCTTAAAAAAAAAAACAGCAGAGAAAAGTAGCACCCAGAAGTCACACATTTCATGCATTTCAAATACAGTAAGTTGCGTTTGGGGAACCCTGGGTAAATGTTTTCTGCAACACCTGCATTTAAAAGGTCACCAATAATGTACAATTAAAAACTAAAAAGAAACGCAAACCACTCCGTATGAAGAAATCTTCCGAGGGGGAAAGGCTAAAGTTCATCTTGCCTGAAGACACCACCACCACCACCACCACCCCTTAGCTTTTGGCTTACTTGTCTGCATCAAGTTGCTGCTAAAGGCTGTTTCGGACCTATCAGAGCTATTCAGGGTACACCCAAGGCCAACCTAAAAAGACTTTTAAACGACTAACACCGAGCATCTAAGAGTCGTACCCCCCAAGTGAAGCTGGGCCTCTGCCTTTTCCGAAAAGCGAGGTAGAGACAGTCTCTCTAAGGCCCCAGGCCCCGGAGTTGTTTCCTCTCTTTCCTATGTCTCCAACTTGCCAACCGCCAGGCCCCTGGTCCCCAAGTAGCAAACATTCAAACCAACGTCCCACGTCCTTCCGTAGGTGCCTGACCGGCACAACCTTACCTTGCATGGCCTTTTCCTGGTCCGCGCGGCTGGCCAGCGGGGCAGGCAAGCTCTGCGCGGCTCCTAGAAGCCTCATTTTGCACGGGCTTCTCCGGCCCAGGATGCTGTCGATGCAGTAGGAGGAGAGCAAAGTTGGAGATTTACTCTTGCACTCGGGCCTCTCGGAGCAGCCTTCTTCCTGGTACTGGTTGCTCATGGCTGGAGCGTTTTCCTCGGGCTCAGAGCGGACCTCCGGCTGCCTCTCCTGGCGGGTGAGATGAGTGAGTGTGTGCTGGGGGAAGTTTGGATGGCTGATTATAGTAAATATTACTGAGATCTTTGTCCCTCTCTGTCTCCCTCGGTTGCGGGTTACGGGGCTCTTACCCTGGTCTCAGCCGGAGCTCGTCCTCTGCGCGCTCAGGACCAGCGGTTAGAAGTGTAGTGAGCCGCGGGCCGCGGAGCTCGGGAGTCTCTCTGCTCCACGTGCTGGGAGGAGCTCTCTGATTGGCTCTCGACAGAGGCCGGGCTGCGTCTGCCTGCCGGCACAACGCAAAGCACGAACTGGATTCTGGAGGGGCCAGCGAGGGTGGGGGCAGGGGACTAGCAGCTGGCACGCACCAGAGCCAAATTTCTTTTTCTTTTTCTCTCTCTTTCTCTAAACTAAAAACTTTCAAAGTTTTCCGTCGTTTTCTTGTAGTTCCCCCTTTAAGTCTTAAGGGTTGCTCCTAGCTCTAGCTCATTTGGGTGCTAGGCTTGTGGGTGCCACGTGGTCTGCGGACTCCCCTTCCACCATCCAGAGGACCTAGCTCCCTGGAGGTGAAGCCGTAAGGCTCTGGTTGAGATCGACCTGGAGCTTTTCAAAACCGGCTTTGTCCTCCTAGGACAGCGTCTTGACCTCAGTGCTGTTCAGTCACCATACTCTCTAGGACAAATGGGCCTCCGACGTACCAGGCGGAAACATCTGCTGTCTGAGTCTTTGGTTTTCTCTTGTGGCTCAAAGCCTAGAGCTATTTGTCTTTATGCAGAGCCTATCTGTTGCTCCCTTGTTAATATCGGTTCCCAACATTCTCTGTCTCCGTTTTTAACTCTGGAATGAGAAAACAGACCCTTAAACACAGAGAGCTCTGCCAAAGGCACACAGCCTTCCCTGGAGTATCCAGAGAGGCGAAAGGGACTGGCGAGTGACTGCGAGTCCCAGAGGGAGACTGGGGAAGAGATTGAGAGAGCCCCCTTTCTCTCCTGACGCTTCTCCGTCTTCCCTACTTCCCTAAATTCATCTGTTAGGCTGTCACCATCCGGCTATTCATCCTTGAGCGCCTGGGGTGTGAAACCCCTGCACTGAAGAACTGTGGTTCTCAGTTCCCTAGAACAGAAGGGACCCATATTCACCTTGAACCAAGTCGAAATGCCTAAAATTTTGAATTTTGTGACTGGTCCCCATTATCAAAAGGGAGGGAGGAGAGCCTTAGGGGGAACCACTTTCTTCCCAAACAGCTCCCAACATTGGTAGTGAATCTCCACCCAACCCTGACTGAAGTTGGGTGGATCCCTGAGAGGAGCCAGCACGGACACCTTCACTGCCTAGGTGCAGGTTCCAAGGGACAGTTAGGGCCTTGGCATTGGCGGGGCTGGGGTGAGGGAGGTGGGTGAGAGGTCGCGGAAGGGGAATCCATGCCAGGTTTTCTTCTCTCAGCCCCTTCAATGTGTCAAAGAGAAAACGTTTTACAAAGGATTATACTTGAATCACTTACAGTCAGTATTTAAAAATACAAGAATACCTAACTGGGATTTTTTTTCTAGCCATCAACATCTGCATAACTCTTGGATGCTAGTGGGTGGGTGGCAGATAGATGGGGCTAGCTTGGCAGGAGTCCTCAACACAACTTGAGGAGGTAAAGGCTTGGGGACAGACACATTAGCACTACTAATACTAAAGCCACACTACTACTACTACTAGTAAAACGGAGCGAAAGGATTTGTCCCTGTCCCTCCATATCTCTGTCTCTTCGGTATTTTCGTGGCTTCTCAACCCGTTTTTCCTACACTCTAGTGGTGGGGAGCAGAGCAGAGAAGGGACTGCCAGCTATCTTGACATTTGATTTTCTTTTATGCCCTCTAGATCCCAAGGTATCTGGACTAGGCTTCTGTCTTTTGGGGGTTCTGTTTGCATCCTCACCTTTTGGTGTTTTCATATGGTCTCATCTAGCTTTAAGCTAATGTTATGCTTGTTCGCCGCTCCTGTTCCCCTCCCTGGTCCTTCTTAGTTAGCCCCGGGGGTCTCAGGGCAGCCCAGAGATATAAGGACGCCTACGTTTTCCTCGAGGTTCCAGGCAAAGACCCTCACAGGCGTCCCTGATGACTGGGCGCCGGGCTGGGGTGGTGGTGGAAACAGAAACACTTTTCCCCCTCTGCGGGTCCCGCATCGGAAATCCGCAAGACCCGGCTGCCGGTGGCTCCGCGGCTTCAGAGTGGGCTCCGCACACGCAGGGAGTGGGATGAACATGAATCCAATAAAGACCTGTTAAATAAAAAGGGTCACAAATGCACAAATCATTTCTGAACGCCCTAAGGGGTTTCAGACTCTCGGTGGAAGACTTCTTCGCCTCCATCGCCCTCCCTCCCCTCTCTGCAGCTGTTCTTCTTTTAAAAGAAGTCGGACTTTCTGATGGGGGTGTATTCTAATTTTATTCACCCACTGTAAAGGGGGAGGTTAACACAGAGTTTCTGATTCTGACTTAATGATCCTTGGAATTAAATCTAATTCTATTAATGGAATATAAAGATGGTTTTTTTAAGACCTGTGTGAAAACTCTAGTCTTCTTTGTTCTGTTATTTTATTTTTAATATTTTCTAATCAGTCTTCTCAAGTGAAGGAGGCACATCTATTCAACTTGGGGAGGAGGGCCTGAACTACTTTTCTGTACACTTAGCGACCCTGAGATTTGTCACAATTCAACACCCAACTTTAGAATCTACAACTGACTCCATTTCCCACAGATTAATTAGGGAAAAAAATGACAGGAAACTTTTTCTGAGACGCTGGATGGGGTGGCAAAGTCTAACAGTGTCTCCCGAGAATCTAATTCGAATGTGGGCTTAACATGTGCTGCTGTCCTATATGTTAGTTTTAGAAAATGAAATGATGCTTCTAATATCTCGGGAGAATTTAATCCATGTGCCGAGCACACAGCCTTTTAAAAATTGGACTATAGGACTATGTATAAAGGGGCACATAATTTAGCTCAATTGAATAGTCACTCTGCTAGCAATATGATACTTCTTTTTCACCTCACTTTTACACTTTTTGTATCCACTGATAAAAAGTAATTTCATTTTCGTGGTAACTTCAGGAAATCTTTGTATGTTTTTAGTAACAACTCCTGGCTCTTAACCTCTGAGGTCTGAACTGCTGGTTTGCTCTGCCGGAGCTGCTTGAAAAACAACGTTTTCTGGATCATCTGTTTTTAAACTCAGTCACTAAAATAAAACGACAATAATGACTGGAAGTGAGAGTCAGACGTGTTCAAATGTGTTGTTTATGGTGAAAAATGGGGCTTGTCTCCACAACTGGAGGAGGTGAATGGAGGAGACCCCTTTCTTTCTGTGGCAAGAGAGCTAATTCTACACTGTAGTTTCAAAATTATATTTTCAAGAAATCCATGATAAGGGGGTGGCAGTTAGATGTCTTTATCGGGGGTGATGTTTGGAGGAGAGTTAACCTCACATTTGAGATGTTTTAATTTATTGTGCAATATACACATAGATAAATAAAGCTGTAATGGGCTTCCAGTAGCACCGGATGGCTCAGGTCCCCTTAAATTATGCTCAACCTCTTCAAAACATATATTTAAACAATAGAAATAAACTTCATTGGAGTCTGTCGACCAATTTGGAAGCCATTGGAAGGGAAGACAATAAGTCCTGATTACACGCAAGGATTCTCTGTGATGTGTTATCCCCTTTGCCAAGTCATTTTGCTGCTTTATTTATTTAATTTCTTCTTCTTCCTTTTTTTTTTTTTTTAACAAACTTTCATTCATTTATGGTCTTCCGCAACCTGCTAATTTAACACTGGAGCGCGTTATTGCAGTGTTAGGAGGAGAGAAAGAGGGAGAGAAAACAACAATACTGCAATGATCCAAATGATACAGTAGAATTATAGCAATTATAGTTCTACTTGTGGAAGAAAACCTTGCTGAGATCAAGCAAACAAACTGAAGCCTTGTGAGGATAACAAGCCTCGCGATTGACAGCCGGTGCTGGGAAGAGCGGGAGGGGCACAAACAGAAATATTTGCCTCCCCAACCCCCCTTAACTCCAACCAGTAAAGGTTAACCTTCTCAAAAGCTGCTTTCACAGTCTTACCCACTTCAGGCTATGCATTTTATGCACAAATCGAGGTTTGTCCTCCTGGAAGTCTGGTAATAGGAGGAAATGTGACATAATCTGCTTGCCTAGAACTTGCCCTCACCTTCTCTGTCTACCCGCCCCCCCCCCTCGCCCGCACACCAGTTTACCCTTCATTCCTACCCTTGCCTCAGTTTTCTCGAGGCTGCTGAGAACCGTCTGTGGATCCGGTTTGTTGATGTGTTTTCAAAGGAGCAGCCCTGGAGAAGTCCAAAGGTACTAGTAACTTGGATGCCCTAGGAAGACACCTTCCCGTTTGCCTCCCCCCTTGCCTGGGTCCTCCGCCTGAGCCATGGCTTTTCCCCACTAGGGCACTGCGGGGAGAGCGCCCCCCCACGTTTGGGAAGCATCGCAGGGATCTTGGCCGAGCCCCCAAGGTATAGACATGTGGGTGTTATTACTGTTAGGATAACTCCTATTTGTAAACTTGGGCACTCTGTTACCCATGTTACCCCATCAGCAGCAGGAGAGGGGGTGGAGGAGTGAGAACTAGAGAGAAAACCGACAACCCTCCCCCTCACACAACCCCCTCCACCCAGGCAGGCGGCCACCGAGTCTTTTTCCTCCAGGTTTGTTCCAAATACAAAGCTGGCCAAGGAGGTCGCTGCTTCAAGTCTGCTCAGAGTACAGGGCGAGCTTCCCCTCCTACCGGTGAGAAGCAAATGGCTGGATTGTGGGCTCCTCACCCCGAATCCCTTGGCAGGAGGATCCCATCTGCTGCTGCTCTTCCCCCACCCAGGTTTCCAAATCCCAGAGGGAAACTTCTCAGCCCCCTAATCGCCGCCATCTGCTTTCTTCTTTCCATCGCCAACCGGACCTCAGGACCCCTGTGTGCTTCCAGGGTGGAGGGGTCCCCATGCAGCTTTTCCTCTGGACGGAGGCAGGAGGGCGTGGGGTGGAGCAGCAGAGGAGGACTCAACTCAAGCGTCTGTCCTGAGGCCTGAGGGACCCCCAGCTGTCCGGGTCCTGCCAGTCGGCACCCCTCACCCGCCAGCAAACAGCACCCATGTCTGGCTCGGCTCAGAGCCACAGCCAGAGTGCGCCCCCTAGCGGGGGCTCCGGGTGGGCCGAGCCCTCCAGGTTCAGCCTCTAGGAACTAAAGTTGGCAGAGCCAAGGGATCCTGCAGGCATGAATGGAAGAAAGAAAACAAAAGCCTTGCAAACATTTCCAAGCGTTCAATAAAAGACCCATCTGTACCTTTTTTCTTCAATGCGTTCGTGGTTAATGTCCCCCGGTGAGTGAGGGACGGGAGATAATTCCTGGATGGATTCTTGCCGGCCTGCCTCAGTTAACAGTGGACCTAGAAGGGAAGTAATTGGGGGGCGAGGCCAAGGCAAGCTTCCCAAGATGCAACACCAAGCAGAAACTTGAATCTGCCATCTTCAGGGTTTTCCTGGGGGCCTGGTGGCCTGTGAATTCTCGGGATTCCTCAGACCTAGAGGAAGGTCATTTGAAGGCCTCTTAGCCTGAGACTTCTTTGATGTGAAAACAGATCTCTAGGGTAGCCTGGCGGCCCTATGATGGTTTCCCACCACCAGACTCTACAATTCTCTCCTCTCTCTGTCTCTGTCTCTCAATGATTTCATGTCTTCTGTCTCTGATTCCATCACTTTCTGACTCCAGGGTTCTGACTTGATGTTCACCCTATCTTCCGGAGGGACTCTGACCGCCTCCCTGATCCTTCCCACATCCTGTCCTATACTAGCTCAAGCATTTGCATTAGGAAAACCTCCATTCCCTGATTCCACTACTCGTAAATCACCCACTCCCCCTTGGTCTGACCAGGAAAGAAAAAAAATCCAAGGTTGTCCAGTTCCCTTTGATTTGCTCAACCTGGAAATGATTGCATTTTCCTGAACTGCTGAAAAAGTTACTGATGAAACCCCCCCTTTTTTTTAACAAAGGGAAAAAATCTGTTTGAATTGATCCATAACTTTTCTTTCACATAGAAATATGTTAATCCTAACTCATCAATCAGAGAAACACAAATCTTCTCAAGATCTATAGTGCCTGTAATCTTGTGTCTCCAGACCTTTAAGATTTCAGTCAGGCTAAAGCCAACAGAAAACATTTACTGGGGAAGGCCTAAAAGGAAGAATCCAAAAATAGGACCGATAACAGCTCTTTAGAGTCTTTTTATTTTGCTCTGTATCTTGCTAATTGGGAAGTTCAACACGAGGCTTTCCCTAGCCATACAAGGCTGGTATTTCGGTGGTGGGGGCAGATAGAAGGGGTCCTGTGGGAAGGGAGGCGTGGGTGTTCCCGTGTTTAATTAAGACTTGCATTGTGTAAAAGGGAGGAGGGAAGATTCTGGGACTGCACAGCGCTCTGTTCTGTTCATCGCAAAATAACCTGCAAGTATTTGGGGGTTGGGGGACACGACCAAAAACCAAAAACCACACACACGCACACGCACACGCACACAATGACTGCAATAAGGAGCCAGCTCTGGAACAGATACCATTAACACCACAGAGCTTCTGGAATCGAGATATCTAATTTCCTGCCGCAAATCACTTACCCGATCAGAAAACACAAATAGCTGAACAGAAAGGAAAAAACAGAGGAGGAGGACGAGGACTAGGAAGAAAGGGCCCGGAATAAAAATAACTGAGCAAAAGGCCTTACATTCAGCACTCTGACAGGCATCTACTCCAAACCTGGGGCAGTTTGTCTCCCCTTCTCCCCGCGACCGCTCTCCTGCCTCCGACTTTCCAGCCCACCAGGCATCTTCTTTTGAGGACACCCAGCATCTTTAAAGGAAGGGGGAAGACTGCCAACTGAGGTTAGGAGAGGGATGGTGGCTGAGAACTGGAACACTCAGGCCTAAGGAACTGGTGGGTGGGCCCCGAGCTGAAGGCAGTGTACTACCCAGCACTGACAGGACCTTTTTCTTGACACCACTCATTGGCCTGGAGGCAGCCTAGGAGGATGTGCAGGCACTTGGATGCCAGACAGCTAGGCGCCCAGTCCTATTATGCTGCTTGGGGATGCTACTATGGTGGCTCAGATGTCCTGAGTCTAGTTATCTTTTGGGTCTCAGAGGCCTAGAAAGTAGCAGATCCAAGGCCTGGTGACCAGGATGAGAAAGCTGGATGGTGTAATGGCGTAGCTAGGGTGGTAGCTTTGAGATACAGGTGCCTTGTGATGTATTGCACTTTTTTTGGAAGGTTATATAAAAAGATCTCAAACTATTTTTTTCTTTAAAGACAGTATCCCTAACGCCTGGCTGGCCCAGAATTCGATATGTAGACCAGGCTGGCCCGGAACTCATAGAGGTCCACTTGTCTCTGCTGGGATTAAAGGAGAGCCCCACCACAGCAAGCTTAGATTTTTTTTTTTTAAAGAGTGATGGTCGATTTCTCACAATTGCTTGAAATTGGTGTTGCCATACCTCCAAACAGCATCACATTCTTTCCGTCCACTCGAGACTTTGTAGGTTTGAGCACAGTTGCTGATACCTCGGAGCAGCTTAGTAAATCTTTACTGAACTGGAGAATTACAGTGTAACCATGGGAGTGGAGAGTACACTTTGATTTGGGTGAAAGACACTGGTTTTCATTCTCAGGAGTTGGTACTGCCTGACCTCCTCTTTCCCCATCTCATAATTACCCAGGCTCCTTTGCTTTCCTCCATCCCTCCTGGACTGGCGTCAGGATTATTTGTTTTTATTATTCTCCTATTTCAAGATTTCAAGAAAACCACAAGGAAATTTAAAAACCAACGTGTTTTGCTCAAAGAATTCCAGAAGGGCAGGAAAGAAAGGGTATTGAAACTCACAGTTCAAGTCAAATTTAGACCTAGGAGTGATTTTTACTTATTTCTTTTCATGGATAATAGAGAGTTGCTGTTATCTGTCACTGTGCGTTCTCTCTAATAAACAGCTCCAAGACTATAATCTAACAGGTGTAAAATTTCCCTTTTCTGAGAAACGAGGAGACCAATAACAATATCTTTTAAATAGTACAAACAGAAAATGCTGTCGTTGACAGTCTTCCATGCTGGAGAATCAATCAAGCCTGATTTCTCTGTCCTTCTCTCCCTTTTCTTTTTCTCTTCTTTTCCTCTCCCCTCCCCTCTTCTCTTCCCCTCCCCTCCCCCTCCCTTTCTTTCCCCTTCTCTCTGGGCTTTTGGAATAGGGGGTGTGCACACCACGTCAAGCAGGCCTGGGATCAAGCAGGCCTGGGAGAAGAGAGGATTCTGGGAAAGATGGCAAGGGCTTCACTCTGGTACCTGAGATGATAAGCATCTGGCCTGGGACTGCAGGCAGCTCCCCTCCCCATCTCTCTCCCTGACGCACCTCATAATTTCTACCCTTGTGGCGTCTTTCAGATGTCCCCTGGAGCTCCGGGCTGCCTCTGTGCCTGCAGCCTGTCTCCTGCAGGCTCCCTTAGATACCAAAACTTGTTTTTCCTAGGAGCCCTGTAATTCTCTCCAGGCAGATAAGACATCCTTACGTGACCACATAGCACACCGGAGAAAGCTACCCTCAGGAATTAGTCCAAGGGTGAAGGAATGAAGAGGCCTGGGTGAAAGGAAAGCTCTAGAGCGGGGGTGGGGGGGTGGGGGGGGGTGGGGCACCTCCTAGCTGGCAAGTCACACAGAGAGTTAAAAACAGACACCAGATTTAAAGGTTTAAAGAGTTTAATTTCTCACCCTCCCAGCAAAACTATTCAGAAAGGGCTTTTTAATTCTCTGCCAACAACAAGGGGACTGAGCATCAGAGGACATGTTTGTCCTCCCACCCATTTCCACCTTTCTCCTCTGTCTGTGTACCTACTCAGGTGTTACATAGTGCAGGACTTGGGGAGAAAGAGGAGCCCAGTTGCTGGACGACTCTTTTGTCAGGGAGGGCCCATTTCTCAGTCTATTCCCAGACAGGCCCACTGTGTTTATGGCTTTATCTATAATTCCTTCCTTCCTAGGGATTTCTTCAGCAACAGTCTCCTCACCTCCCAAGCACCCATGAGTCCATACAGGCTTCTACTGCATAGAATACCAGAACAATGATCTCTCTCAGAAACGTCCCTATCCAAGACAGTATGGGGAACTGGCCCGGCAGTGCGGTCCTTCCACGGTCATCATGGACCAACCTGTACCTGCTTCTCTCCCTCCTCTCTTCAGCTTTTGGGCTGGAGCACTTTGATGTTATTTATATAAAAAAAATGACATTAGAGTAACCTTTTATTGCACCACACTAAAGGGAGATTGAACTATGACTTTGGAAATTCTGACATTCCAATGAGAGCTATATAAAATTGCTTAAAAACATTTTGAAGGCATCATTGGTGTTGTTTGTAGTGGTAAGTGAAACAAAGGATTTTGCAGAATGATGAGTTGAATACTAAATATGCTTTTACCTAAGTCTCTCTGCTATTAAATAGAAGAGGAGAAAGGGAGCTGGTGAACCGGGTAACAGAGGAGCCTTAAATGAAGAAGTGCCTCAAAGTGATCCTCCTGCTTCACCCCCCCCCCCCAAAGTACTGGGACAGTAGGTATGTGCCACCATGCCTGCCTGCCTGCCTGCCTGCCTGCCTCCCTTCCACCCTCTCTTCTTCCCTCCTTCCCTCCCTCCCTCCCTTTCTCTCTTTATTTTGAAGATCTCAAGATCAGGTTGGCCTTTGGACCTGCTGTGTAGCCAAGGATGACTTTAAACGTGTGATCCTCTTGCCTTTGCCTCCCAAGTGCTGGGACCACAGTCACGTCCATCAAAGTCAGTGTCTCATGATGTAGTTCGGTACACAACACTTGCTACCACAGAGGAGACCATGGGGTCAATCTGCAAAACTGCAAAAATCGAATTAAATCTTTGGTTGGATTTGGTAGCCCAGGGTGGCCTCAAACATCCTATGTGGCTCAGGCTGGCCTTGAATTCCCAATCCTTCGGCCTTCACCTCTCAAGAAGAGCTGGTATTATAAGCACGTGCCATCAAACCCAGCTATAAACTCCAATCTTAAGGTTAGAAAGGAGGAGGAGGAGGATAAAAGCTGATGTCTAAGAAACAAGACATATACCATAATAAGGCAGTATCAGAATATGAAGGAAAATGAGGTCACCTATATTATGAA